TGACCCTTCTACCTCTGCGACCACTAACATTCCCCCTCCTCCATCGATGGGTCCTCCTGCTCCACCGGTACCTGCCTCAGGTCCTCCTCCCCCTATGGATGTGGTTCCGCCTGTTGTTGCAGTTCATTCCTCTCGCCCTCAGCGTACCCATCGACTTCTTTTCGTTTTCGTGACTGATCCATATACCCCATACGCTCTCTATCTTTTACCATTCCTGAACACTTATGCAGCAGCTCCCGGTTTCGGCTTCTACATTCGGCTTCTACATTCGACTTTCGACCTCAGTGTTGCTCCTCAGTACCAGAGTACATGTCGCATTGCTCCGGACTTCTATTCGGTTTTTGCAGTACTCCTACTTCATCCAGGCTACTTCGGTTTGACTTCAGCTTCGAGACTCGTCAATGGACTACTTCACTTTTTCAGCTATAGAGTTCTCATCATTCCTACCTATCTACCACCCTCGAGCTTACCCTTCAGTCGCATGATGACCCCTATTTTCCCTTTCTTTGTGGGTGTCCGCTTGCCGCCCTTCTGCCTTACCTTATGCTGCGCGCCCTCCTCTGGAGTGTACGTTTTCCTTGCTCGCGGCTTCTGGCTACATGTCTATGTCGGCATAACCCTCTCTCCTCCCAGGCTCACCTTATGTGTGCTCCCTTGTGTGAGTGCTTTTCCCCCCTTTTCAGCTGGCGGTACCCGTTTGATGGTTTCCATTGAGCCCGGTGTCGTGCTGTTATTCCCCCTCTGAGCCTGATGACCCCGTACCTGGTTGTGTGGGTGCCCCCTTGGAGTTTACTATGAGAGCTGTACCTGCCGCCTTCCCACCCATTCCCACTTCTGCTATGCGACTGAGTCCCTTTCTCTTTTCTTCAAGTATTGTGCATTGTGTACAGGACACGTGAGACTGTGCCACACTGGTTTTCGACTTAGGACATCGGTTTAGTTATTCTTTGGCCTTTAGGGCCCTGGTGTTGATTTATATTCAGCCCCTTTGACTGAGGAGACATTTTTCTTTTTCTTGGCCGACACAGGTCAGACATTTTTCCTTTTCTTGGCCGACACAGGTCAGACGTTTTTCTCTTTCTTGGTCGACACAGACCAGACATTATGGTATAGATTAGGCTTGAGGCTTAGTCTGCATTGCATCCCTTTTCATGCATGGAGCCTGCTTCGCATTTAGGATTGGTCCTTTTGCCGTTCCTTTTGGGTTTCCGCTATTTCAGCGGATAGCGTGCTTGATGTATCGCTTGATCCATTCACAGGTCCGAGGATCGTGTAGGGTACCCCTACGGCCCGGCAGTGAGGCCGGACCAGTTTCAGGCCGTCGGCCTGACCCTGGTCCGGTACCAGGTTATCCCGTACCTGGACCTAGGCCGGTATATCACTTCGGCCTAGGCCCAGGGCGGGAGGTTCATTCATTTTGTTGTTCGTTCATTCGAGCCGGACTGGACCTTCACTCAGCTGCTGCTTTCGTGTGTGTCCATCTCCTCTCTCTCTCTCTTTCACACTATTCTCCGCACGTGCGTCACATCTATTGTTTTTTTTTTTTTTCGTTTTTGACGGAACAGTAGGTTAAACGTCACTTCATTGCGGGATTCTCACGCCATCCGACCATTCGAGTACTCAGTTCAAAGGACGGCGGTCAGTTAGAAGGACAAATGAGATCATCATCGCTCATCCATAAACACGTCCACCACTTTCAACTTCCGTAGGTCATTTCCAAATTTCTCAAGATATCGCGAAGAGGACATTCTTAAAAAACTTATTAAATGAAAACACTGACCGCTGCCTTTTCATTAGAAGGCAACAAGAAATGACCCAATTACAATTCTCCAAGGTCTCATAAGGAGCACTTTCCAAGATTTCATGAAGAGCACTGTCTCTCTTTGAAATCAAACAAACATTTTCATAAAAAAAAAAAAAAAAAAAAAGGAGCAATCGATTACCAACGAAAACACAAGCACATCTTCCATCACGTCATCTTGGCTCTCGAAACGTAAACTCCAGATGACATCGAAAAATTCTGGCAAGAGAATGCAACATGCCGAGAATTGTTTTTCTTTTTACAATACCCGGGGCGAGGTGTCACTAGCAAATCGGATTGGATTACATTGTGTTCTATGCAAAGATGCAGAAAGCAGATCAATCGCTGAATCTGGATGTGTTATATGAAGAGATGCAGAAAAGCAGATCGCAATTTTCTGCAGCGCACCGCAAACACGTCCAGGTTCACTTTTTAAATCCAATCCTCTTTGGTAGTGGGACCTCGCCGCGTGGCCGTGCCCCACAGCGAGCATTCGTTCACGTTTCGAGTATCATGACCGGCCCCAGCTAATTCATTTATCGATTTATGTGTGTCATCCTTGCGCAGGGGCCATGCTAATCTTCTTTCTCTCTGTATCGTTCCAATTTTAAGGGATGTCCCGAAGGACGCCCCAGCTAATTCAGACTTATGATTGCATCTTGATTCCAACTTGGGTCTGTATTTCAGCAGCTCATGGGGTGTACCGACTGAGCTAGGCCCGTTGTTGTTCGAGTATTTTTTAACGTATCCACAGTCTGGCCGTGAGATGGCAGATCGGATGGCAGGAGGAACCCGTGCGTATTCGAAACATAAGCCCTCCCCACACCACTTCCCGAATGTGCAAAAAGGAACATGTATCTTCTGCAAAAACATAGAAAGATACACCCACCACAGGTTTTGACTTGTTCACATTCCGAGAGTGGTATGGCGACGCCCGTAAGCTTCACCACCGCTAGCTGAGGGCTAGGTCCCACTTACACGAATTACGCGACATTGACCGTAGATTGCAAAGATCAACGGCCAGAATCTCTTAATCCGTGCAAGCGGGACCTTGCCCCGGGCACAACCCCGGTTCTCAACGGGTAATGAATGATAGCTCGCAAGTCGTATTGCGGTCTAGAGCTCGCAGTCCAGCTTGAAGTTCCCTTTCACACCCATTGTGAACCAGATACCGTCGATGGGGAGGGGATGGAGAGGATTTCACATGGCTGCACTGAGGACTTACTCATACTAGCTTTAGTGCATCTGACCAGATCTTTTTTTTTTTTTTTTTTTTTTTTTTTTTTTTTTTTGGGGGCTGACCAGATCTACGGCCAGACCTGGATGTATATATGACCGCAATAAAGTCCCTAAAAAAGTTAAAAAGTTAAAAACTGCTAGTTGCCTGGAGTTCCTAAACCGACCAGGGGACTATATATACTGAGGAGGGCTTGGCGGCCTTGGCCTCAAAAGGTCATGTCCACTACTGACGAGTCTATGCGGTTGTGGGGCGCATTGTAACTCTTTTGTCTGTTTGTTTTTTTCCGTTTCTTTTTTCTGTTTGTCGTTTCTTCGGTTCATTGTGCCTTCCACTTGTCACTGTCCAAACTGGAAAATGCCATTGTGTTGCAGGGCGGAAAACATTCTGAATCTGGAGCTGGATATGCCAGACAGGACAACATACGACTTTGAAGGTGCGGTGGGAAATCCGCGTATCCAAGCTGCGTTGGACCAGGCCTTTGCGGATGACAGTGAGATGGTGTTTGCAGCCGGGGACAGGATGCCGAATGTGTATTTCACGTACGAGGAGGGGGAGAGTGCGGAGAAGAGGAAGTCGTCCAGGGGAGATAAGTCTGGCAAGCGCCCGGTAACTGCAAAGAGGCGCGCAGACAGTCGCCCGAGGTCGTCCGCTACTGTCTCTTGACAGATGCCGATTATGCGGACGACGGAGGCAAGTTTACGTACTGCTGTAGTTTCCCATTCGGGTTGTAAGAGTAGCCAGAAAGGTCTGTGAAAAAAAAACTAGTGAGATATCACCTCTCTCTCTCTCTCTCTCTCTCTCTCTCTGTGTGTGTGTGTGTGTGTGTGTGTGTGTGTGTGTGTCAGTGTGTGTGTGCGTGCGTGCGTGAGCGCGTGTTGTGATCGTCTGTGTCAGTGTCACCACGTGTCTGACATGCTCGTGCCTCCGTTACCTCACCAGCAATGAAACTGAGGAAACAAGAGGTCGTCCACGGTGACACATTGCGAAGCCCACAGCTCTCGTGTTCAATTGAACTGCCAAGGCGCAGTTGCGCTCTCGCAAACAAAAACAGAACGACGTCAAAAAGGATGGATGAAAGGAAGTTCGGGCAAGACCATACATAGCATGCACGGTTCAATTCCAAAGCACAAAATTCCAACACATTCATCATCAAATATAACCCCACAACCGAACAACGTCAAAAAGGATGGATGAAAGGAAGTTCTGGCAAGACCATACATAACATGCACTGTTCAATTCCAACTCAAACCACAAATTTCATCAAATAACCCCACACTGAAACCGATTATCCGAACTCACACCGCGACTGCGATGACACACACACAAAAGGGTCGAAATTCGGTACCAGCGGCGGCAGTCGTCAGGCCCAACCCTGTGAGCGAAGAGTGATTTGAACGACCACCGATGAGCATTCCGCCAGAGTACTCGTCATCCTTCCTGGCTTTTTTCTATTCCGCCGGCCAGTCGTCTACAACCCATCCAGCTCTCTCAGGACACACTCACACCAGGACTTGTTTTTACTTAGTTCTGGGCGTGATTGCGGTCAGATACATTTACGATATTGCTACGGCCGGAGGAGCATCCCCTGACACCAATCGTGTTACTGATCAACCTGCTTTAGGGCATCAGGCGCCACCGTGCACGCACGGCCTCTAACCGACGCACTACCGTCGTCCCCCGAACATAACGCACCCTAAAAATGAATGTATACGAGTTATATCTCCGGCCAGATACAGCCAAAATGAGGGTGCGTTGTGTTCCGGGGAAGACGGTAGCTCTTTTTTTTCTTTTCTTTTTTTTTTTGTTTAACAATTGGCCTAGCTCAGTCGGTATACCCACGAACTGTTGAAACACGGACCCAAGTCCGAATCCAGACACAATCAAATGCGGCCCAGAACAAAATCATTCTGACACAATCAAATGCCCAGAACAACCGAGTGAGTGCTAGGGGTGCTGATAAGGGCAGACACCACTAGCATGCTCGGGGAGGCTCCGTCTATTGGTGGCGAGCAACACCTGCTGGAAACCGGGTCCAGCGTCCCTTAACATTTTAGGAAGGGGTAGTAACTTTGTAAACAAACAAGAGGTATGTAACCGTGCCACGTGTCCATCCTACTATAAACATGAGTGATCACCTGAATCGACACGCAGGCACACATCATTAATCCGATGAGCAGCATTGATTGCCCTCAACCCGAGTGAGTGCTAGGGGTGCTGATAAGGGCAGACACCACTAGCATGCTCGGGGAGGCTCCATCTATTGGTGGGGAGCAACACCTGCTGGAAACCGGGTCCAGCGTTCCTTAACATTTTAGGACGGGGTAGTAACTTTGTAAACAAACAAGAGTTATGTAACCCTGCCACGTGTCCATTCTACTATAAACATGAGTGATCACCTGAATCGACACGCAGGCACACATCATTAATCCGATGAGCAGCATTGATTGCCCTCAACCGAGGGGATTAACTGGCCATTGCAGTCTAACGTCAGATCCCTAGTCTGAATCCCTCATCATCTACCTGCGGCCGGTCTGTTCAATGATGATGACATCTCAAATCCGTCGACCTTCCAAAAACGAAAAAAAGGAACATCCACCGATTGCTCCTGACATAGACAAGAGGACATCTGGCGTGCACTCTAACGTATTAAGTGCTTGCTCCAAACCAGTGAAAATTGTATAAGCAATGTTCGATCAGCAGGAAACCACAAAAAAGTACGGCCGCTCGCCCTAGCCAGCGACCGCCGATTCAAAAGCAAAAAAAGGAACATCCACTGATTGCTCCTGACATAGACAGGAGGACATCTGGTGTGCACTCTTAACGCATGTTGCTTGTACTGCAAACAATGTGATGGCTCTAGGCCAAAGGTGAAGGAATGGTGTCGAGAACCAGTCTGCACCCAGCAGTTACTTTGACCATGGGCAATGGTTGTGCCGAAGTGTTTGTGGAGCACAGATACCCAGGCATAACCACCTCGGGAGGACTGTCGGGAGACACTGGCTCACCAATTGCACTGGAGGGAGCCAATTTGAGAGCTGTTCCTGAAGAGTGGGTGTGCATGCTCCAGTTTCCTCCTTTGCTACCAGGCCAGGCCCAGTGGGTGCCAAGCCGTTTCGACAATTTTCTCAAATGAGCTTTTTCAGGTGCCCAAAGTAAGTGTGTCTGGAGAGGAGGTAGAACTGTCCGCACGGTCTTGTACCTCAGGCCATTACAATATGGGAGAGCCCTTGACTGCCAAAGATGCTTTGCCTGTGTCAACGGCTTCCTCGGATCTGGTTCCTGTTTGGTTCTTCAGCAACGGGGTAGGAAGCGCCCATGGCTTTCCGAGGTTACTTTTGACCCCTGTATTTGGCACACTGGTCCAAGTGGCATGCAGCGCAAGAAATTGAAATTCGGGGAAATCACTACCAAATGTTTGGGCCCAATGAGCTGGTATGGCAGCGAATAGGAACGGTACCTCAACGACCAGCTTTATTATATAAAAAAAAAAAAAAAAAAAAAAAGTCTGGTCCCTTTGAGTTGGATGGTTTGGAGTGAGCAGTTTCTTTCAAGCCTAGGATGTAATTCCAGCTAGTTCATGCCACCAATCTGTAAATAGTACCAGTCCTTAACTGTTTTATCTGGCGCCCTTTTTTATTACGGGTGAAGAGGTACAGGTGGCAATGGAAGTTCCCAAAGCTCTCAGATCAGCGGTCGTCATCATCATTATCATTTTCAGCATCATCATCATCATCAACATCACCAACCTATAGCATCAAAACATTAGTATTTGTGAATGTGGGGTGCCCGGCCCGGTTCCCAGCATGTGCTGTACCATAATGATAATCCTTCGATTGCAATTCAAGGGACGCTGGACCCGTTTTCAGGCAGGTGCAGCTCCCCACCAATAGATTGGAGCCCCCGGTGAGTCAGGTAGGAGTGTATGCTCTTATCATCACTTCTATCTGATGTCATGGGAGTTTAAAAAAAAAAAAAAAGGAAAGAAAAAAAGGCCTGAATCGATTACCTGCTCCTGCCTTCGATATGCTCGCAGATCTCAAACCCAGGTGGACTAAGAAGGGGGTGATCTCTGCCCAATCACTCGATAAGTGGACCAGGTCTGCATTTTTCAGGTTCTGCCATCATAGTGTTCGAAGGTTGCCTGATGCCAAAAAAGCTGTGCTGCTGTGGCTCACCACACATCTTGCGATTCGAACAGCTGAATGGCTCTCCACCAAGAGCCAGCATACTAATCCTATTTGCTTGGTATGTGGTTTGGTTTGCGAAAAGACGAGGCCAGAACGACGCTGGTCGGTGCTGGGGCTTGGTCGTGGTGCCCTGTAACTCGAGCTGTACGAGGGCATGAGACCTGGTAGAGAGATCTGGGGAGTTGTCGAGGGTGGAAGGCACTCTAGTGTCTTTTGGTGAGCTGGTGCCTGGTCGATGCTGGCCGGAGCCGGGGCGGGTCGCGTTGCCCTGTGGCCTAGCAGGTGGGGGGTTTTCTGGATTGGGTCGTGCCACTCTGTCTGTAACCTAGCAAGTTAGGGCGTGTAGGAGACAGGGGCGGGGCGCAGCGCTACCGGGAGCGCTGCGCCCCGGTACGGACCGCGGCGGCGGAGTGAGGCGGCGAAGCGGGAGGGCGCCTGGCGTGAACTGGCTTCGCTCTGGCGCGTTCATACGGATGAAGTACTGCATGGCGATGGCGTGACAGAGGCGCTGGTGGGGTGACGAGGTGTTGCAGGGCTGGGGGTCGAGCTTACAGCAGCTGCTTGTTAAGCGCTTTGCGCACGCGCGGGGAGCGAGGGTGCTTGTCTATACCGTGTCACAAGTTGATAAGGAGAGTAGACTGACTCCCGGGGGTTTTCTGGGAGTTCCGCGTTCATACTCCATTGCTGCTGCGTTTTTGCCCGTGGCATAGAGCCTGTGAGGTGTCGTCTCTGGGGATGCCTGTGGAGTTCAGCGGAGTGAGCCTTGGGTGACCCGAAGTGCGTGTGAAGTAGCTACCCGTCATCACCAGTGTTCTCGTTCATCAGCATCAGGGATCGGCCGTAACTCAAAGGAACATGGTGGGGTTTCCTCTAAGGAACAGCGTAAGGGTTCCGTTATCATCATTAGGGCTGCTCACCGTCGCCACCGATATCATCAGGGTGATGCTCTTCATCATCATTAAGGCGGTAACTGGGGCCGCGAGCAGCTTGTCAGTAAYATTGMGTTACTAGTACTRGAAACAAGGTAAGTTGGCTAGCGTGCAAGCACCTCATTCATAATTCACTACTTCAGGGTGCTAGGGCGCTGCCCATCCCTATTATCATCACCATTAGTGCATCACCACAGGGCGCGTAATTARCAATTYCACCATCTTGATCGTAGTCATCAGTGATCATCGTCATCATTATCATCATCGTCATCATTTACTTTCATCGTGATCTCTCCCATCGGAAGTTGACTCTCGTCAGCAATATTCATCATCATCATCATCATTCATTTGAATCATCATCATCATCATCATCATCATCATCATTATCATCATCATTGAAATCATAGTCACCAGTCATCATTGTCATCATTTCAACAATCATCAATCAAGGTTACCGCCACGAAGAGGAGCCGCGCGCGCTAGAAAACTGCAAGCAGCAACGAAAATAGCGCGCGCGCTCGACGATTGCGCGCGATTGGGTGCGCGCCCTAAGCCGAAAATTGGACCACCGGTGGTCTATGGCGAGAAGCTGAGGTGGTCAGATCAAATGGCCCAGCGGATTAGGAGATATCGAAGATCTAGGGCGCGCCATGAAATTGGAGTGTGTCGGGCGAGGGCAGCTTCATTAGCATGCTCACCCTCATCACAATTTTTTCATTAGTTGTAATTCATCTGTAGGCGAAGTTGATCGCCACTACTATCAATAGGCTTGCTTCACTCAAATAGTCATCCATAACACTTCCATCATCATCACTACCATCATCAATACTAAAATCATGTGAAAACCTTCAGTCTCAGGGTACCGTTTTCGGCTACCCAATTATCCAATAGTCATTAATGTTTACATCCTGATTAGCGATATCCTGATTACCTACATCTAGATT